GAAAATTATCAGTAACATTTTCGGAGCGGATGATAAAATAGCTATAAATTTTATGGTCCGTATATTTTTGATTAACAAAATAGTTTGTATTACTAACGTTTAAGTGGAAATTAAATGCAAGATAATCGGAACAGGTAATATACAGGGTGATTCAAATTCACCATTATTGGCAACTATATCGGGTGATTGGAGATGGTGAATATTTTGGAGATGCAATGCGGTTATCGTAACTATTTTATTGCATTTTTAGAGTCGTCGCCTTCTTCTGATTATTCATTTTCCTATACCAATATTGGACGGTTTTTGAAATACTATTTTTCTTGTAGTGGTATTAGGTAGCTTATAGGAGTTTATTTTTATTCCCATTTGAATATTCTGGGGGGCTAGATGGTATATTTTCTCGACATATACATTAAAAATCAGCGCCGAGAGAATGCACACTTGTCTCAGTCCTTTTTTTTATATTGATCGTCTGTAGTGAGCTGTTAATACGAAGACTGTGTTTAGTTCCAGTATAATTTCTAGTTGATTTGAATGACCTATTCATCGATATCTGACATTATCCAAAGCTTCTTGGTAGTCGATGAAGCAAATGAACACATCTTTTCGGAGTAGAGCGCTTCCCCCTTCTCTTCTCTTCGCATTTGTGGTAAATTCCTTTGCTTCCGAAAAAGCTTTTAATACGTAGAAGACGAAGAAGGAAGATGTTATGTGTTCATTTAGCGTGAAATGAAACTCGACCACGACAATGCAACCGTTTACTCACAACTCAATACAATACGCGGCCCGGCAAGTAACTGCCGTGGATAGCCCTAGGAAAACGTACCACATCACGATTTACAAAAAAAACCTAAACTAAACTGCGATATAAAAAACTCGCATATAGAACACCTTCCCCCTATAATAAACTGAAACTAACTTAACTCTAGTGGTGTTTATGTACGCTTGCATTTAGATATGAGTGTCACGTTTACTGGGCGACTTGTAAACTATCTGGAGGGGTAATCTTACTACGTCTACGAAGCACATGCGCACCGTGGTCACTTCATTGACGCTGGGGTTGTTTTCACTGGGTGAGATAACGTCTTCACTGTCCGATGTTTCGCTATCGCTAGACCTAACTGACGTTACAGTATTACTTGATCTGTTTCTTGTTACGTTGGAAGGTGGAGTCATCGAGGAGTTTTTTTTTATTTGGGGCTGTCATGGAGTTTTCCTTGCTGGGACAAAACTTGTCGTTACAATGATACTTTTATAACTGACTTTTCCATGTGACTCCACCGACCAACTCAACCACGTAAGTTCTTCGGCCAAGTATATCTCGAACTACCCCTTGACACCACCTGCTGTTATCCGTGTTTTGACGGTAGTCCCGGGTCTATACTTTCTCCCCAATTGAAAATGACAGTTCCCCTTTCTTTTTGCGCTTAAGTTCTATTTTGTTTTGTTTTTCTTTTGCAATATTTTCGGTCGAAGGTAAAATTAAATCAAATCTAGTGCGTAAAAAGCGACCAAAAAGCATTTTTTCTGGACATTCTTGGGTCGTAGTGTGCGGTGTATTGCGGTATTGAAAAAGAAAAGTCTCTAAAATAAGTTGTAAATCGGTCACCCCATCCGCATATACTTTGCGTAACGCTCTTTTTGCAATTTTGACGCCTGATTCGGCCAGCCCATTCGTTTCCGGATGATATGGAGCACCAGCTTTGTGAATGATCCCCAAAGTTGCCAAAAAATTTTGGAATTCTTCGGACATAAAAGTCTGACCGTTATCGGTGGAAACTTCTTTTGGGAGACCAAAACGAGCAAATAGAGCTCTGAAGATTTTTATGGTTTGTGCAGAAGACATGTCTGAGACTATGAAACATTCTAGCCATTTTGAAGTGGCATCTTCGATTACTAAAAATGTTTTATTTAAAAATGGTCCGAAAAAGTCAGCGTGAACATGGTTCTTTAGGAGTATCCCACATAATTAAAGAAGGTTTCGCGGAGTTTTCCGAATAAAGTGCACGTGTTTTGCATGAACGCGCGATTTTCTCGATAGAATCGTCGATTTTTGGCCACCAAACATATGAATGCGCCAAGGCTTTCATTTTAACGATTCCGGTATGAGTTAAATGTAATGCCCCCAAAATACTGTCATAGAAGACTGGAGGCACAATTAGACGGTAACCCCACATTAAACAACCATGTTCTACAGAAATTTCATGTTTTTTAAGAAAATAAGGTTTAAAATCTGTAGAGGGGCAAGTTTGTGGCCAACCGTTTCGAACATAAAATAGAATTTTGCTCAAAACGACCTCTTTTGAGGTTTGTTCTTTAATCTTTTGGAAATTAACTGGGAATTTTGAATTTTCGATGTAATTTAAATATGAAATTTGATCTTGTTTACCCGAGTCGAATAGTAACGGATTGCTGGCATGGTGAAACATATTTTTAGTGTTTCCCCCTAACCGAGATAGGAAATTATTGCCCCTAGACCTATACTGCTGGCATCTACCAATAATTTGATTGGTAATTTTTTGGACTGATCGTCGAGCAAAGTTTGCTGATACGCTTCTGAAAGGTCGATTTTTGAAAATTTCATTCCCCCCTCTAGTTGGCTAAATAAGTATTCAATTCTTGGAAGAGGAAACTGTTGAAATTCCAATTGAGGGTTCAAGGTCACCTTAAAATCGCCGCAGATCCTTATACCACCGTTTTTTTTTTAATATTGGGATGATAGGTGTTGCCCACTTTGAACATTCTGTGGGCACTAGCACCTTGTTTTTGACTACAAAAACTACAAAAAAAACCTAAACTAAACTGCGATATAAAAAACTCGCATATAGAACAGAAGAAGTGATCCTCGGAGTATAAGGGTTTTACTATTAATTATTTTCACCATTTCTGCGTATATGTTTTCTTGCCTTGCTGTTTCTTAATATTTTAAGAGATGTTTCATCTATTCTATAATATCTCTAAGGTTAAGTTGGCATTCATGTTCAAACAGTCCATGAATATAGTTCTCCCAAATTTCACAGATTTATTGTGGGTCAATAATCTATCCAAATATCAATTATGGCTAATTATTTTTACCGAAATGTGACACCATTAAAAAAATTAGAATCTCAAGAAAGCTGAAATTTTGCTTTCAGTTTGCGAAAACTCAAAATTCATTCGGTTTAAAATCAATAACACCGAAAAATAGAACCTGTATAAAATTTATAGGAGAGTGCGAGTGACTGCTCAGCTGCAATTAAGAAAATAATGATAAAGTTTTGAGACTTTTGTGTGTCACGTCAGAATTATTAATTTTAATTGATAGTACAAATATTCTATAGAATAAATTTATCTACTGTAGGTCAAAAAAGTCTCCGTGCACATTTCAGTTTTCTTTTACTTTCTTGTTTCACTTATATTTAATGAGAAATATATTTCAAAGAATTATAGGCAATCTCATTAAGAGTACTATATTTAAACGATAAAAAATAAGGCAGTTTTAGAAGCTCGTAACTTGATGTTTTTTCACTCGTCACTTTAATTCTTCCCACAGATGCTCTATGGGGTTAACATGCTGATTTTGTGGTGGTGTCGGAGGACATTATGGATCATCCAGTGACGTACAAGCGTAGCAGTGTGTTGAGGATCGTTATCCTGTTGGAATAAATAACGCCCCTCAAGGTTAAGTTTTTCTACACTTTGGTTTAAATTATTCTTTAGGATGTTCAAATATTGCTCCATGATTCCGTCGATAAAAGCTAAATTGCCTGTCCCATTAGCTGACACGCACCCTAAAAATCAAACATTACCTCGCAGTAGGATTTTCAGAGCTGTATTTTTTTTTCTTCCAAACTTTATCCCGACCATCTGACCCAAAAAGATTAATTTTTGTTTCGTCACTAAAGACAATGTTTTCCCAAAACTCCCTGGTTTTGTACATATGTTCTCGGGCAAACTCCAAACGTTTTTTTTTCGATTTTTTCCGAAATTAATGGTTTAATTTAATCGTTTAAGGGCTAACATTTTTTGAGAACGCTTGCCTGATTTCCTTTGCATTTTTGGAGGGTTTGTTTTAGAATTAATTCTATTTTTTTCACAACAGAAGACTCTTCTCGTGCAGTTAACCTCCTGGGAAGACCACAGCATAGATTTGCATTGGTTTATTACATACTGTACAGTTGAATGTGATTTTTTAATTATTTTAACAGTATCTCTAAAGGATTTTTTCTCTTTCCATAAATCTACTTTGATTTTTCGAAGCGCAATTGGAATTTGGCATTTTTAGCGGTCATTTTGCTTTTAATTCAAAACCACTTACTTAAAAGTGGCGTCAGTGTATATAAACCTAATACGCAAAATCAAATCTAAATTTCAGTAATTAAGTTCCGAAATATTCCTCAAGCCGTAGTACAGAAATATATTAAGCAAAAATAATCAGAAGGAAGCAGTGAATCTTTAAAAATGAAACAAAAATAAAGTTTTTTAAGATAACGATGTTATTGTCAGAAGCGGCAAAGTGGCACTGCTTAAAAAATGTTAATTCGATAGAGCAGAAATTTAAGAGACTCTATTCAGCTGTTGACTTTCTGAATATGTTTTAAAATATATTTGAGTGGGTTTCGTCTGATTCTATTGAATTTATTAACGAAAGAATTTTCTTTAAAACTCAAAATCAAATAATGCACCTATGTAATAGATATATATTATACATATTTGCAAAACTCTGTCTAAGGAAATTTAATTTTAGCTGATAAGTAAGTATAACTATTTTGACTGTTATTATTTTTTAATTTTTTATTGTTAGCTTTTAGTACAGCAGAAGCCAATTTAGAAACATTTTAGTTTTATTAATTAATATCTAAATTAACTAAACCAAACTAAGCTGGATAGTCCTTCAGCAGTCACCCTGTATATGTTTCGCTTAGATTCATAAAAAAAGAAATATTTCTCCGGAAAAACACAATCAATTCAGTAGCAAAATTACGTGAAATTCTGAACCTTTTTGATAGAGACGTGCTTACCCAATATTTCCACAGTATGCGTGATTTCCCTCGGTTGCAGTGTACCTATTTGGCAGACATAATCTCCGGCATCCTGCGGGCCCACTTCTTTGATCTCTAAACTATAATCGGGATGCAGGGTGACCCGAGGATCGGGGGTCACCCGTATATTTCCGGCGGATAAAACAGCGATTCCCTTCTTCCACACCCGTATGTAAGGACCTGAAACAATTGATTACCTTTCTTACCCTTAAATTCATTGCGTTCCTAATTCGATCAAAAGATCCGTTACTTCCCTTTACTTCTAAAGGTATTTCAAAGTGTTTGGTTTCCTAAAAAGAATTGTTAACACGAGCTATTGGATTGGTTCCAAAAATTTAAATTTTCGCAGTACTCAACCACAACTCATTTTACAATTTCTTGAAAAAATAAGTGCAATATTTTTCTCCATTAGATATTTATAAAGCGATATACAAATATACCTATAGTACATAATGTTCTCGAGATATAGGGATCCCTTAATTCGCATTCTTCGTTTTATTACTGTCGATTCGAAACAAATAGAATGCCATTGCTACCTAATGGAAAAACAACACTTAACATATTAACCAAAAATATCAGGAAATTGTATTGAATTGTTTTATACAAATGACGTTGGGATTATAGTTAATATTTTTATAACTGACAATAAGGACCTGACTGAAGTTGATTACTCTGATTTAATTATCAACCTTTTCTGTATATATGTTTTGGTTTGATTTTCACTTTTTTTTGCTGTTTATTAGTGTTTATTTGTAATGTCAGCTTTTTGAATACTACTATTGTCCGCCCTTTATATATTTTAAAAAATCAGTAAAATGGTTTTTTAGTGCTGCTTAATTCGATAAGTTTATACTATGGGGTCGTTGAGTTCAAAATTATGTAAATTTCTTTTTAATTTTGTGTATCTTAAACATGCCGGACATTTCAGTCAATGTGACAACAGGGCGTTGTACGCCAAACCGGCAAGGTCTACGTTTCTGCTAGGCTAGTAACAATTTTGTAACGTTACGGGGTAGACGTTCACGGCATGGGTCGCGACGTCGCCGCAAAGTGAGATACAGTCCATTTATAGAAAAGAAAAGAAAAATTCAATAAATATTAAGTGATTGAGGAAACGCTTGTATTATTGAAGAAACAGGGGTTAAGCCTCAAAACACGGTGAAAAAAAAACTTTCTGAGGTAAATGTGGTATGTACACCAGTGTGTATTCAACGCAAATAAATTTTTGAGTATACTTTTGATACTTTTGCATGATATTTTAATATCGAATAGATATCAGTAACATGTTGTTGATACATGTTTGGAAAGCTTTTCTTCAGTAACATGGAACTTCTGAGCGTTACATGGTGTTTAAATTTTTCCATCTTTTATACTTTAATTTACGTTTATCGGAGATACTTTCACATATTGAGATGAGTTTGGGTAAACGTTCTCAAAAGGCCCCGATCAAAAATGTTATCTAAAACATTAACACCGTTTTTGCAAAAATTTTAGTTCTCTATGATTTTATGGAGATTTTTTCATATTTTTAGATGTAGATGAGACCTTAAATGTTTTTCACAACAGACTCTAACATATTTTAGACCTTAATGACGTGAATGTATACGTAAACTTAGGTGACGCTGTTGGCTCAAAATATCTTCCACTAGAAAACAGCAACCATTTTGATTTGCTCTGGGGATAAGGGAACGGCAGCAAAGAGCTGCGAAGGAAAACCGAAGACGCAAATTCGGTTTAATTTCGCTACGCTCTCGAAGGTAAAGATTTATAACACGAAATTAATCAATTTGATTATCGCCATATTTCGCCGCGCGCACGAACGGGGCTCGAAAGAAAATGTTTGTTAATTAAGAAAAACGCAATATAAAACTTGGGGCTCGGTAAATTTTTGAATGGTGAAACCTGCCGGATTATTTCGTAAGATCCGGGTTCTTCTTAAAGGGAATTTGGATATTTAAGTTTGCGACTCGAGAAGTTTCCTCCACGCAAACTTCCATTTCCTTTCCAACTTTCTTAACAATTAGGGCAAAAAGGCCGTAAGCAAGCGAGACGTTCGAGGGGACGGCAGAAGAATTAATTGATTAACAGGTTAAAACGTGTCTGGATGCTTGCTTGCTTTCTTAGGCTTTCAGCGTTCTTCTGTCTGGATTGTTTAATTTCAGGTCGATATGGCAATTTATCACGCCCTACTAAATGATGAAGATGATGAATAAGGAGAATTTTATAAACCGTATTACATTTTTCTTCAATTTAAAAAAAATCTAGGATTTTTCTTAACTATTTTAAACATAATATCCAAACAGATGAGATAAAAATAAAACAAATTGTCTCAGGTATTTAGGTATTAATAGTGTATTATGCAGCAAGTTTTATAAACGACACTTTAGTCACGAGTTTGATTTTGGCACGAGTGGAGCGCAGACAAAAGTCTGAATAAGTTTATCAATGTGATAAAACGAACTACATTTATTGACGTGTGACACTACCATCGGATCCTTCCAAAGCCTTTGACTTAAGTACAGGAAATTCCCAAAATGGCTCCTGACAGTATTCCACGAAGCTAAAGTCTTGTATTATTAATTTTGGAACCAAGTGTAAACTGCTAGCGCACTCGGAGAACGAACTATTTATTTACTTTTTTCGAAAGAGGATAGGACTATCTGAAGAAATAGTGATACAGTTGGTAAATGACAGGAGCAATTGATATGGGGACCTTACAGAAAAAAACAGAAATTGATTTCATAAAGATTGACTAAGTAGTTTGAAATTTATGAAGAAGAAGTAAAATGCAGAAAATCCAGTTTTGGTTGATTTAAAAAAAAAAGCAACGACAAATGCTAATCTAACAAATGGGTCATTTGTAAATGGTTTTTTATCAATTTTGAAAACGTTTAGGCATACGGAACCTGTAATGGTAGTAGTATTTTTTAATTATTTTTTGGTACCAGGTTTCAAAAAGCACTGTATATTGCCATAAGTTATAATTTTTGCTGCCACACACTTAAAGCTAATGGTATAAACATCTTCCATTACAGTTCGACCCTAAATGGACGTAGTGGTTTTCCCTGAATTTCTTCCGTTATTACCCGAAGGAATCGATAAAGCTTGGGGCGCTATTTAATCGAGAAAAATGCTCGTCGTTTTTGTTTTTATTGAAAAACTCGAGTATCGTAATTTATCAAGCCGAGAGTTTTCGTCTCATTTAGAAGGCATTTTTATTTGTTTTTTCCATTAATCCGGAGCAAAGAGGGTTGATTATAGCGGAATATCTGGCTTCCGTTTCGAATATTTCTAAATCTTTTTTCTTTCGAAAACGAGTTTTTTGTACGAATGCATTTAAGAGGAAAGGAAATAATAAAATTGCAGCTTGAGAAAAATTCGAAAATTTAGAATTTTGTTAATGGGAGTGATACGGCAAAAATATTTTCCGATTATAGCGAACCTCAACTTGCTAATTTTATATGGAACACCCTATATCGTATCGAGATCCTCTGAAATTGTAGACATACCTCATGTAAGATTTTTCACAAGATAGTTAATAGCTTGTGTCAAAATTTAAATACATAACCTTATTTGGAAAAGAAGGTCTGCTTAAGAAATTTCGGTAATTACTCATACATACTGTTTAAAGGAGATATTAAAATAAGATTTAAAATTAAAAATTTAAAATATAGGGTTGGCAAGATGGTGGAAACATGCTTCATTATTGTCTAAAATTAATATGGCGTGGTTTTCGTTCTTTTATTTTAAACCATTCCACTGTCAGGAATATTTTTGGAATTGATTTTAAGCTTGAGTGTTTTTTTTTGATTCATTGCTATTTTTGGGATATGTTTTCTCAAAAACTCTTTACATTTATTACGGTTTACTTCAATGTAATTATTGTATCTGACTTGAGATGCTAACAGAGATTTTTTGATATATTACTTAAGGTGAGTTTAATATTAATATAATTTTTCTACTCCCAACTCTAATGAAGAACTGATCAAGCGCGTGAAAAATGTCACTTCAAGATGTAAGACTGCATTGACCACAGTGGCGTACCACTTTGTATTTGTACTTTGGTTACGAGGTTTCAAAAATGTAGCTAAAAATGAAACGCCGTCAAGAACTACAGTATGCAACCGGATGATAAACTTCCGCCTCCCATTTATTAAGCACTCGCTCCGCTAGTAGTAAAATCAAACTAAAGTGGCGTTTATAAAACTTGCTGCGTAGTGCAGTATCAACGATTAAATTCTTTTTGGGTGCTAAACAAGGGCTACTGTGTGCAGTGCGGCTTCATAGAAAAGTGATTCGAAAAAGCTTACCGAAAAGCAGGAAAATATATGTTTCATAGCTTCCCAAAAAAGAATTCAATAGAAAATTTAGTTGAAAATAAACATCTGATCATATTAAGCAACAGGAAAAAAGAAAGAGTTACTAAAACTCCAGAACCAGAACCGGTTCGTGAATGTACAGGGTGCGGCAAAAAGGTAGGTAGGATTTCAAATAGTGGTTGTTCGGTTTGTAAAACCGGCAACACTGTGTACGCACTCGCGTTAGGCAGACAGAAGTATGCAATTTTCAGTTATCGACATGGCTTGGAGCGGAGTGCATCGTGCTTTCGTTGTCGAGGAGTTTATTAGAAATGGGGAATCTGTAATAGCGACGCAGCGCGCCTTTCGTAATCAGTTTGATGTTGGTCGGCACGGTGCGGTTCCGGATGGAAGAACAATTCGTCGGTGGGTTTTACACTTCAGGGAAACAGGTTCTGCGCTTAACCGAAAATCTACTGGCCGACCAAGGACAGTAAGAACACCGGAAAATGTGAATGCAGTAAGAGTTTCCGTACAACAGTCTCCAAGGCGTTCAGCTTGTAAGCATGCAGCTGCTTTGGGAATTCCCGATAGAGTGTTTTACACAACTCACTCCAAATGCATCCGTACAAAATGATGGTAGTGCAGGAATTAAGCGCAAGAGATTATGAAACCCGTAAAAATTTATGCCGGGATATTCTTCAAAACATGCCCAGAGGCGCTGTATTCATGTCTAGGGATGAAGCTCACTTTCACCTCTCGGATACCGTAAATAAGCAAAATTTCCGTTATTGGTCCGCAAATAGTCCACACGAACTTCATGAGCGACCTCTTCACAGTCCAAAAGTCACCGTCTGGTGTGCAATCTCGGAATTCGGCGTTTAAGGTCCTTACATTTTTCGAAGAGGAGGAATAACGGTAAGTCAACGGAGATCGATATTTTGATATGGTTAACAATTTCCTGCGTCCAAAAGTGAACGAGTTGAACAACGATCAAAGAGAACATCTTTGATTTCAGCAGGATGGTGATACATCGCACACACCGCGTCGTTCACTATATCTTCTTCAAAAAATATTCCTAAACATAGTGGTGACTTTACGGGGTGATCTTGGCTGGCCGCCACGTTCGCCTGATTTGTCGCCTTGCGACTTTTTTCTTTGGGGTTACCTGAAAGCGAGAGTTTTCACACATCATCCGCGGACTTTGGAAGAATTAAAGGCAGCCATAAGATAAGAAATTGCCTCAATTCTCCAAGAAATGATCCATCGGGTAATGATGCGCTTCCGCGAGAACCTACAAGAGTGCATCGACAATAATGGCCGTCAGTTAAAAGACATCATTTTTAAAAATTAACGTTCCTAAATGGCTTAAAATGTACATTTCAAAAAAAGGTTTGCTTTATGTAGTTTGGTTTTTATTAACATCCCAAATAGTACCTATCATTTTGCCGCACCCTGTAGTTAACGGACGCTTAGGTAAGATAGAAAGCATAAAAGCATTTTATGCTTTTAATATTCAACCACCCATAATTTAATCTTCAAAGTTAAAAATCCTAGTTCGTACTACAAACATTTTTATTAGGGACTTTAAATTCGCAATTTAATCGATACAATTGCATCCCATATTATAAATTCACTGTTGCGTGTACCTAACCTCTACATCAAATTTTAAATATTACTAAGAATTGTAAAATAGCAAAAAAAAGTTTACCATTTTCTGCTAAATCAAATGCTTTGTATTTAAGTGGGTGCCCCGGTTCAGCAAGTACCGCCATCTTAACAATATTCAATCAAGGAATTGTAACCGCCTAAGCGCGACGGTTACACTTTAGAAAAGAATATAAATAATAGGAAGAAAAATTTTGTTGACTACTGCAGAACAAATAAACCGCTATTCTCGTTAGCGGGATTCAATTTAACGTTTTTCCTTTCGAATAAGTTTTAGAATACCGCGCGGGTACGAACGGCGATTTCATTTCTTCCGGCGATATTAAACCCTTCCAAGGAACGCTCGCAAATTGTCAACTCTGTGAGATTCAAACGAAGTGAATTTAAGCGGATAAATTCGAAAAAGCCAAACATTCTTTACGTGAAGGAGCTTTATTCGAAATTCGTAATATGACGTGCAATAGTTTTTGATCAATTTGGGACCGGCTCTACCAACTTAAATTGATGTCAGATTGTGTTTGTTAAGTATAGATTCAGTGTTATTACGACTAACGGGTAGGGAAGGATGGGGAAAGAAGGCCCGCCTTAAAAATTAACCAATTTTTTTTCTTCTAATAATTATAAATTCTGGTTATTTGCACATTTTTGGCCCTTTGCGTGGTACCAGGGGTAAAATGGACCGCTAAAAAATTGTAAAAAAAGCTATTCCATATTTATTGAAAGTGTTATTTTTTGGATAACTCTATGGATTTAACCAAGAGCTCTAGCATTCGCAAATCTTATAAATGCCAATAACAAATTTTTTCATCGATAGAAAAATAGTTATCAATCAGTAACGATTTTTTTGTTCAATACTTTTTAATAAATAATTATTATATATAATATTATAAATAATTTAGTTAAGTAAGTAAGTAATTCAAAAATAAATCGACTTGATCGTTACGTCACACAAAATAATAAAAAATTTTAGTGGGCCGGCTGGCCCCACGCTCTCCTATTACATAACGAACAACACTTTACAAATTACCACTAAGTTAATTTACGATTTGTTCAATTTATCTAATTCTCCAGAAAAATACAGGAAACAGTTTGCAATAATCATTACGCGCGTTGCCTTAGCTTGGTCTTGCCGAAGAGATCGTGGCCGCACTGTGTCTCAACTTGACAGTGGTTAATTGTACAACACTGTTGTACAAATTTTTTGTTGATTTACCCTTGAAATTATTTTACAGGTTTGAATAATAATATCTAATAGTGATAATTGTCAGTACGTAAACTGACATCAATTGCAATAAATATAAAGTATACAAGCACAGAGAGAAAAAGTAAGTATTAATTACGGAACATTTTCTATAGATTTTATCCTCTCCCGTAATTTAAATATTTTCATATATATACATATCACCTTTACTTGTTATGATTTTCCTTTACAAATCAATAATTTCACTAGCACTTCTAGGGGTGAGACCTTAACTGGAGTTTTTTATACTTCACTTTTATTAGCACATATTTATTTTTATCAATTTAAACAAACGTATTCTCAATACTATTTTAATTATAAATAGGGATTCATAGTAAATTTCACTATTTTTTTTCCTTCCATATGAAAATTGCACAGTTGTGTAATCACAATTAATGACGTAGATGAACGAATAAAAAATACAGTTTCCTTTAAGAAAAAAACATGTCTAAAATTAATGACTGCCTGCTTAGTGCGGCCCTTAAAATAAAAAAATCAACAAAAATGTTTTGGTTAGCTGTGTATAGGAGATACGGACTGCAGCAAAATACCTGTCAGGACAATTTCTCAAGCAGAGAGAAGAAAATTGATGTCGGCGTCTGGGTTTCACTTTTAGCAAAAAACATGAAGGTAAAAACCGCTCATGTATATTTGATACCGTTATAGAGTTATTGGCTGTTCGTTCCAACTTTTTTACTAAGGAATATTTTGTGTTTTAATATATAAATTTCCAAAGCACCTTTTTAAAAATAATGGTTATTAAAAAAAAAATCGTATTTTTTATATGGGAAATTAAACTTATGCCTCAGGCCTTCTTCGAAAAATTAAAAGTTTGAAGATGTGTTTTTGGCTCTGAAGACGCTAGATTTTTATTGCACTTTTCAAATACATTTAAAAAAAAAATGGAAAATCGCCGCTCACAAATTTTTCTGGACTCACTGTATTTGTGTTCTAGTTATTGTCATTTCTATTGGTTCGTTTTGGTTAGTTAGTTGTCAGTCCCATTGGCTAACATTCGTGTTTATTATTAATTAAATTAAGAATTAATTATTATAAAATACTATTTTTTTCGAAACGGTCTACTATTAATTAAAAATGTCAATTAGATTTTGTTTTCTCTTACGATACTGGTCGAGCTACAAATAATTTTTCATCATGTACCTTTTATTCGAAAGACCAACGTATCGTATATGTATTTGTTTTCTGAATTACTCTCCTGTCCAAAGAATTCAAAGTGATAAAAGCCTTTTCCAATATGACTGAGTATTTTTGGAAAGCTGGTTTTGAGTCCTTTTCAATCATTCAAAAATATGCATGGTTTTCCAAATAAAAAATCGATTTTTCTCCTGATTAAAAACCATTGGTAAAAAGATATTTAATAAGAGTTTTTATGGGATCACAAAATTTGCCATTGCCATATTTTGATGATTTTTACCATTATGTTTTTATGAAACTTGAGCGGCAGACACCGACATCACTTTTCGTCTACTGGGGGTTTCCCCTTAATTGCTCAATTTGGCCCATCCTGTACACATTTGCCACACCAATTGTTATATATGATTTAATTTTGTGATCTTATTGACGAAAAACACTTACCGGGATTGGATACCTCGCATGGTAAAGTCACGGTGTCCTCGTCCTTCACTTTAAATACTTGACTAGAAGATATAAAAGTGGGCAGAGTCGCCGGATCGATTTTTAATTTTGTTGCCTGCCAGGAACCTGTAAACAAGAAAGCGAGGGTTACAAATTGCTCGAGATCCGGGTGTAATCAATGGAAATGCCGAATTTATTGCCCCTACTTCGGAGATTTCGAGTTTAAAAAAAAGAAAAAAATAGGTAATAGGTTGTGTTCGTAGCCCCCCTGGGGTCGCGTTGTTCCAGTAAAAAAATAGTACCGATTGAATTCGTTAACCTCGACACTCTGCACATTAATAAGACAAAACAATAAAAAAATATATAGAGACGGTATATACTTCATCTTATTTTCTAAATCATTTTAAATATTGTTTTTGGAAGATATTGTATTAATTGATACCACAATATTTAGGTAGGCAAATTTCACCAAGGAATGGTATAAAAAAATTAATAATTATTTTTTTTATAACATAACGTTTTGGGCATTCTATTTTGCAGGGTGTTCTGATTTGGCTTACATCTTCTAAATGTTCGCCTTTTTAATAGGCTAAAAAAGGCTCTTTAATTGCTGACAGATACATTGGAGAAAATCTGGAAGCTTTTGTTGCTATATTGACTTTATTGTTATGTTATAAATTTTCGTTAATAATTTGAATCAGAAAGTGAAAAGTAAAGACTACCAAGTCAAAAATTCAATAGAGCCTCGACAATTTCAATTGCTCCATGGTGTTTATTGGATTTTTTTTGTTTTTTCCTTGTTCCTAATAAACACAATAGAGCAATTAAAATTATACTGTTCCAATCAAAACATTAAAACTGACCTTGAATGACTTTGAAGTTGACACATATTCAAAAATTTAAATACACTATTTTGTGAAGTAAAAGATTTAACATGTTGTGTGTTACCCTGCACGAAAATTTTAAGCCTTAAAATTATTACAAGTATAGAGCAGGTTTCGCTTAACCTAGTCGAAACTGAGACTTGAGTTAGACTGACTTTTTCTATCTGGAAATCTGAGAAAGAAGATACTCTTTGCGTTCAAATGTTTACTTGACCGTGAGAGTAAAAAGTCTCTCCATGTTCCATTAGAAGTGATGCTATTAAAAGTGTTTGTGTTTAAGATATTAAATTATATTCATATATCAAATGAGGAATATACTTACGAGCTAATTAAGTTTTATATAAATTGTAACAAAGTTAAATCATCGAATAAGGCATGAGTGAAAAAGTAAATAACAAAAAGGAAATTTTAGGCTAGGTATCTAACAATTTGATGCGTGAATCAAAATTGGATTATAATTACTAGGTATGGAATTATCTTTTTCCTCTGACCATAGCTGTCTTAAAAATGCACAAAAGTAACGCCCGGATTTGCTTTGTTTATTAAGATACGAATTCGGCGCACGACTTTGTAAGGTACGAATAAAGTTGCGAAATTTCCGGCTCGGATTTGAGAGCTCCAGAGCGTATAATAAATGCTAAGATGTCGTTTCGTGCCTTGATTGTCTATTAAAACTGATTTTGTGTAGATTGAATATGGTAACACGCTCATTAATATGTATGGATATTAAACGTGAAAGCTGAAATTCCATTTAGTCCAAGAATAAATTCTACTTCTGTTCTATTTTCTCTGTCGTCTCTCTATACTCTCAGCGTAAAATATTAAAGCTCACCGCCTTAAATAGTAAAATCCCTTAGCCAGTATCATTATAAAAATTGGCTAAGCTTTATCTCAAAATTGTGTGCAAAGCAAAGAATCATAGTATTACTACCGTATTATAAGATCACAATAGTATATTATGCAACAAGTGCAGTAAACGGCATTTGACTCACGAGTTTCTTTGACACGAGCGGAGCGAGTTTTTAATAAACGAGGGAGTTAAAAAGTTTACCGAACGTGTTGCATACTATACTTTTTCTACGACCGTTAGTTTTTGGGTACATTTTCGTAAAACAACACGAATACATTCACCGTCAGAATTGACAAACGTCAAAATTCAAAGTGTGGGAAATATCTCCGAAAACATCCGATTGCTCCCAAATCCGTGCGGTAAAATCCCGGAAATGTCCGAAGTGGCTCGGATTCATGGGAAACGAAACTGCCGTGGTAAAGTGTCGCTTCCCGCATGCTAGATCCGTGGGTAATTAGGTATTTTACAGACGGGAGTAGAAAAATATTTTTTTCTACACTCTTCTGTAAAACATTTAATTATACACCGACCTAGCGTACAGGAAGCGTCACTTTACCACGTGTGGTTTTTGTCCCACGGATCCGAGTCACTTCGGATAGTTCTGGCATATTACAGCACGAGTTTTGACGTTTTGTCAATTCTGACGGTCATGTCAGTGAATATATTCGTGTGCGAAAATGTACCCAAAAAACTAACGGTCGTAAAAAAATTATACTATGCAACAAGTTTGGTATACTTTTTAAGTCACTCATTTAAACACTCACTCGGCTCCTGTCAAATAAACTCGTGACTCAAATGCCCTTTACCGTACTTGTTGCATAATATCCGCAACCTGTTTGACGTTCCCTTGGAGAAGCGAAAAAGTTTTAGTTAACTCATATAAATACATGAGCCATGACTTTTGGTTTTCCGTTTTTATGAACAATTATTATCTAAAATGGTGTGCTGCAAATGCCTACATGTAATCGAGGTATTTTCTAGTAAATAATTCATAATTTTATTAGGACAAATGAACAGACAAGTCGATTAGGAACACTCTTCCTCACTCCTTAACTCAAAATTAACCTCGAAATTTTTACTTGATGTAAGGCAAAACCAGTACAAAATACCCAATGAAGATTACCGAATATAGAAGCCATTTTTATATGAGTTAAAGTTGGACTGTCGGTAATACACTAAGAAGCATGGTTTATAAAAAACTGCGCAACTCTGTACTGTCCTTGAGTGATACTAAGTTATTTATTGAGCGCACAGAATGCTTATTTGAAACATTTCCATCTAGGAGTGGGCTGTATTATTTATGAACGTCGCAGTTTACAATCTATCTATCGGAGCATATAAAATGATGCTTAAATAGACACTCGAATCTCAATCGACAAGGCAAATATTTTAAAATTTTTAGCAATGTTAACAAAGCGTGTCTAAAATATATTCCTTAAATGGGTTTTCAAGTTACGACAACCTCAAATCACAAAAATGCAAAAATGAATAGGTTAGTTCTTGTTAATTAGAGGTTTAGACTGTTTTGCGAATCGATCAATGGAAATTGGTTAGAACAACTGATATTTGAGAGTTATGGTGTAGAACTTGCTGCAGGGTTTTCAGAGTCATCTATGATTTTTATTCAAATAGTCTTGAAGACTCATATTCAGGTAGATATTGATAAAATAGTATTACCTACTGTATAAATATGTTTTAATCATGTTAACTCTCAAATCACGCAAATCGTTAGAAGAAAGTGCAAAAGTAACATCATAGATCTGGTTCCAACGCTGCCAATTTGAATATAATTGGAACTTAGGCGGTACATGGATCATTAAATAAAATTAAAATTTTTGTTTTGTTTTTCTCAAAAGTAAAACAACATGTCTGAACTTATTTATGTAATAAGAATATTTATCAAACGTGATATCTTTGTAAACAAATTATAATGTAATTCTTGTTAGAGCGACTTTAAAAATAAAAATTAATGCTATCTTCAAATACCTAAACAAAACTGAGTACTAGGTTACTAGATGTACAATACTCATTCACAAATCACAATTTCCCACAAACATGTTCCAAATTGAGATGGGATAACTAAAATGATTTGTCACTGACTTGGATTGGATAGCTGTTCGCGATATTGTGCATAATCCTGATCTTAAAAAACTGTTTTCGACTACGGTTGGACGCGAATCAATTATTTCCTTTGCGGCCATTTTTATTATTCAATCGTATTCGCACACAAACAATCAACGTCTCATATTTCCGTTATCGCTACATGTTTACCAATCCCATAGGACATAGGCCTGAGGACTTATTAATGCCTTTGAGGATTTCGCTTCAGATTTCTCGAATGGCAAACTGTTGAAGCGCCCTCGATTGTGGTAGTAATTGTGCTGTCATTGTGTCTAACGATGTTTAGACGACGCACGGATGACAACATGGCGGACAGCGACCACTTCAATTATTCGGCACGTCCCGTTTGACCTGATATTGACTTATTATTTTATCCTTAGTGCTGGAGGCTTATTGAACACTTTCTAATAGACTTCTAAAGTTCATTTTTGACATTATGAAAGCTGCAAAATGTTTTCTCAATAAATTAGCAATGTTGCATTTAAACTTGTGACAGTGCCATATAAAAATTTCTTGAAAGATTCGTAATGTGCAAAAATAATATATATATATATATATATATATATATATATATATATATATATATATATATATATTATTGCCATGCTTTTATGAAACAACTTCCATTATTTAAACAATATTAGTAAAAGGTAATTATTTAAGGTAAACTTATATATATATATATATATATATATATATATATATATATATATATATATATATATATATATATATATATATATATATATATATATATATGTATATATATATATATATATATATATATATATATATATATATATATATATATATATATATATATATATATATATATATATATATAGTATATATATATATATATATATATATATATATATATATATATATATATATATATATATATATATATATATATATATTATATATATATATATATATATATATATATATATATATATATATATGTATATATATATATATATATATATATATATATATATATATATATATATATATATATATATATATATATATATATATATATATATATATATATTATTGCCATGCTTTTATGAAACAACTTCCATTATTTAAACAATATTAGTAAAAGGTAATTATTTAAGGTAAACTTATTAACCTATGATAAATAATGACGACATAATACTTTATCACTACGCTATGTACCGGGTGATGCGTTTATTATGGGATGACACTTTTTCTCAGGGAAAGAATATTGAAAAATACCTGAAAGGTAATAGTTCTTTGTTTAT